TGGTAGTGCCTACCACCAAGACGGAGACGGTCATGGAGCTGGCACACGGCCACCCAGTGGCGGGACACCTAGGAGCCGACAATACCGTTCAGCGCATCCGGGACCGTTTTCACTGGCCCGGGTTAGAGGCCGAGGTGAAACGGTTCTGCCGTAGCTGTCCCACCTGCCAGCAGACGTCTCCGTACCGCCCTCCCCCCAGCCCGCTCATTCCACTACCCGTCATCGATGTGCCCTTCGAGCGGATCGGGGTGGATCTGGTGGGACCGCTGCCGAAGTCTGCCTGGGGACATGAGCTCATCCTGGACTATGCCACCCGGTACCCGGAAGCCATTCCACTGCGAGCGGCTTTTGGGGTTGGCGGGCTACTGCCGATGTTTCATTCCCAACTTCTCCTCTATAGCCTTACCAGGAAGGGGCAGCCGGAGAGGATAGACTGTCAGACCTTACCAGGAAGGATAGACTGTCAGACCTTACCAGACCTTACCAGGAAGGGGCAGCCGGAGAGGATAGACTGGACTCCCGAGACCGAAGCCGCCTTCCAGGCCCTCAAGACGGCCCTGACGTCCTCCCTGGTCCTGCATGCCCCAGACTTTGGCTGCCCCTTCACCCTATATACGGACGCCTCCGGCACCGGTTTAGGGGCAGTCCTCTCCCAGCTCCGGGATGGAGAGGAACACCCCATAGTTTACATCAGCCGGAAACTCTCCCCCGTGGAGACCAGGTACGCCACCCTGGAGAAAGAGGCCCTGGCCATAAAGTGGGCAGTCCTGGAGTTAAAGTATTACCTTTGGGGCCGCCGGTTCACCCTCGTCACCGACCATGCGCCCCTGCAGTAGATGTCCCGGGCGAAGGACACAAACGCCCGGATGACACAGTGGTTCCTCGCACTCCAGGACTTCTGCTTCCAAGTACAACATCGGGCTGGGGCCGATCACGGGAATGCGGACGGTCTCTCCCAGGGCTGGTCCGGTTGGGCAGGTCTGGCAGGTAACCAGAAATTCCCCCCCCGTAATACCCTCACAATGAGTTGGGTGTTTCCCCACAGGACCAGGAACGCCCCTGCCACACTGATCGCCGACGCACAACACCTGTGCGCGATGAGTGGCGCACCTGGAGCTCGTTCCCGCTGGCCTTAAAAGCCAGGAGAAGAGACACCAGCGGGAGAGCACCCCAGAGCTCCAGGCGGCATTAACGATTGTTCTCCTTATTTCACAGACTCTGAAGGCACCCAGGGAGAGGGATCTGCACCACGGCACTTCACCCCACGAGCACCATTCTGAGACGGGCACCGAGCACCAGTCATCAAGGGCACGTGTGATCAGTGTGTGGGCAAATAAATCACCCTCCGGGGCTCTTTCGACCAGTACAGAGTCTGTGTTCTCATTCACCCCGTGACAATATATATATATATATATATAAAAAACAAAAAATATATGTAATTTTTAGTCTATTTTTTTAGGCTAGTGAAAACAGAAAGAAAAGAAAAAAACATACTTTTTATCCGTGTTCAAGGGTGGACTATGACCTGACAATTACTGAACACCTTAGCAACTATCCAACACATTAGCAATGCCCTGGCAGCCACTCATAACCTTCTAACATTGCAAAAGTGAGTTGAACAGTCAAGAGAATGTAAAAATCTGTCTTTATGAGCTGTTCTTTGTGTTTATATTCACACACAAGTGTTTTAGAGCGACTTCTTCCACTTGCGTTTTCAGCCAGACGGCAATTTGCCTAAATTAGGAGCCCGATCTTCTTTACTGCCTAGGTTGGGTAAAGCATGTTAAATAGTTTGACCACGTTAATCCAGTGACACTAACTTATTTATTTGTGTTAATGAAATCACTGTTAATAATTTACAAGTGTTAGTGAAGCGTCTTTAATTATCTTTTCTGTAAGACTCCCTCTCTACTGGTGTATCTTCTTTCTCTCTCTCTCTGTCTGTCTGTCTCTTACTTGTTATAGTCTCTCTTTCTTTTCCTCCCTATGTCCTTTTTTTATTGATGTGCCTTTGAATTGTACAATGTGCATAAATGAGCATATATTTCCTTTGTCATTGTGCTTATGTATTTTTATATACATGTGCCATATATAAGTTTGTGTGCGCATATAAATGCACGCCGTGCTTTATTAAAGCGATCCCCAGACTATGAATAATAAACACTGTGAGCCCCCTCTCTGTCGCTGCATGTCCCCTCCGTTTTCATTTGCTTTCTCTCACAGATCATGTGACTACGCTGAGCACAGTAATTATTCATGAGCTCGGTGCCTGTGCGAGAGAGCCCGAGCTGAGGCCCCACTCCAGCTGCATGCAGGGGCCCATCGGCCGGCGCATGTCAAACGGCGACACCTTACACCGCAGACGGCGAGGAAACACTCACCCTCACCCCGCCACACTCTGGATAAATAAAAGATGCCCACAAAAGAGAAAAAACCGACGGAAACCGAAGGAGAGGAGAAGGAGCCAACGGCGAAAGGAAAGAGTAAGAGGGATTCAAAAACGAGACAGAAGATCTCCGAGGAGAAGACAGAAAGCACTGAGACACCTACAGAGAAGAGAAAAAAGAGCAAATCTGTGAAAGAGAAAAAGAAAAAGAAGAAAAATGAAGATGTTGAGGTGACAGAGAATGACAACGGGACGGATGAGCAGAACAATAATGAGCCCATCAGCAAAGAAAAACGGACATCAAATGAGGAACGGGAGGTAAGGAAAGAGAAGAAAAAGAAGAGTAAACCATCCGAAAGCAAAGAAGGACAAGAAGACATGGGCTCCAAGGAGAAAAGGAGCAAAGATGGCAAGAAAAAGAAGAAGTCGGCCGAGGAAGAGGAGGATGAGGATGCCGTGCAAGAGGAGGCAGAGGAAGAGGAGGATAAGAAGAAGAAGAAGAAAAAGGATAAAAAGAAAAAGAAGGGTTCCGACAGCGACGAGGAAAAGAAAGGGAAGAAAGGGAAGAAGTCAAAGGTCAAACAGGTGGATTATGCTGAGGTCTACCAGGAAGAGCTGCTGAGCTATCACACGGAGGAATCGGATGATCAAGAAGATGAATTCAACAAAAAGAAAGGTAGACTCTGGAAGAGGATTCCCCTTCTGTTCTTCTTTTTATTCTTTTCAGTCTTTTAATTGAAGTAAAGAGAAAAGTAGATCAACTGAGGTTTTCCCAAAACAGAATTTAATGCATTTATTTATTTGCCTGAGAATGAAACTTCTGTCATCATTTGTTACTCCAAACATGCTGAAAGAACATCATGCAAAACACAGCAACCATGACTTTTGAGCTTCATGAAAGCACCATAAAAGTAGCCAATGCTGAAATTTCAGAACTTGGAGAAGATTATCAATGAACAACCTCACACAAAGCTATCATACACTGAAGGAATTCAGTTCAGACGGTATATGGACTATAGTTCTATTGTGCTTTTGTTGTCCTTTTTGTAGCTTGACAGTCATGGTTTATATGAATTGTCTTCCAAAATGTCTCTTTTTGTGATTCCTTATTGGCTCTGACGGTTCTATGAAGAACCTTTAATATAGAACCCTTTGAATACACAAAAGTTTCTTCAGACTATTAAGATGTTCTTCAAACTAAAAAAGAACATTGCTGCGAAAGCCCCTTTTGGAAGCTTTATGCAGGTTCGGAACAACGTGAGGGTGGATAAGTGTCAGTTTTGTCATTTGTTGATGAACTATCCTTTTAAATGAGCAGATCGCATTTGGAGACTTGGTTAAGTGTAAAGCCACAGCACCCGACCTACTGTCTGTCTTCTGGGGATGAGCTGTTTTTCTCTCTCTCTCTCTCACTGCGTCTGCCCATCTCTTTCTCTGCTTTCACTCTCAGTCAGGCACCCCCTCTTCTCGGTTTCTCTCAGGTTGGATTTCTTTTAACCCTGGAACATCTCTTAATTGATTACTTGAACATTGGAGAAAGCTGAAATAGACAAAAGAGGAATGGAGCAGAAATAAAGATTCTTCAGTGGAGATGCTATACACTCTTAATATAAAGCTTATTGGCATCAGTGGTTCCATGAAGAACCTTCAACATCCATAAAACCTTTCCAATGCACAAAAGGTTCTTTATAGTGGAAAGAGATTATTTAGATGTTTAAAATGTTCTTCACATAAAAAATGGGTTCTTTTAAGAACTCTTCACTGAAAGGTTCTTTGGGGAACCAAAAATTCTTCTTCTGTGGCATCGCTGTGAAACCAACCTTTTGGAATCTTTATTTTTAAGAGTTTATGTATTAAACATTTTCTTGTTGTTCTGCTTACTATTCTAATTGGAATTTTATGTTTCAGAGTGTCTGATATGTTTAACTGATTTGCAGTAAAATTCTGATCATTCCATTAACGTCCAGTCAGAGAACCTTCCGGATTTCACATTGGCAGGCGGCTCTAGAGGTCTCTGATTGGCACAGCAGAGGTGTGTTGTCCTGGCAGCAGGGTATTATGAGAGAATGGTGGCGGGCACCGGGCCAATAGTGGATTTGAATCAGACGGGCACCTCTCTATGGCCTGAAACATTACACTCTAATTGGCCATTTCATGGAACCATCAAAACCTCATTCAGCGAGATGGATGTCATGCTGTCAGGTTCAGTCGGACGTAGCACGTCGGGGTGGACGTTATCGCTTAGGACTGATCCAGGGTATTACCCTGGCTGATCAAAAAAATAATAAATAAATAAAACCTGCAAAGCTGGTTTATGATCATTTGCAGTATATGTATAGGCCAGGGGTGGCGAACTCCGGTCCTGGAGAGCCGCAGCCCTGCAGAGTTCAGCTCCAACCCTAATTAAAACTCACCTGCCTGTAGCTTTCTAGTAACCCTTCAGATCTTGATTAGCTTGTTCAGGTGTGTTTGATTAGGGTTGAAGCAAAACTCTGCAGGGCTGCGGCTCTCCAGGACCGACGTTCGCCACCCCTGGTATAGGCCCTCTCTCTCTCTCTCTCTCTCTTTCTCTCTCTCTCTATATATATATATGTATATGTGTGTGTGTGGCAATGTTTAATCGCGATTAATTGCATCCAAAATAAAAGTTTTTTGTGTACATAATATATGTGTATGTACTGTGTATATTTATGTATATATAAATACACACACATGCATGTATATATATATAGATATTGTTTTAGATTTATTTATGGGCTTTTTATGCCTTTATTAGGAAAGGACAGTGTAGAGTAGACAGGAAAGCATTGGGCAAAGAGAGAGGGGAGCAGGATCGGCAAAAGACCACGAGCCGGGATTTGAACTTGGGTCGCCGTGAGCGCAGTTGCGCTGTATGTCGGCGCACTAACCAATTCCGACTAACCGATAATGATTCAACCGGTAACTTATAGGTTGATTTTTTTTGATCGATTCCTTAAGTGAACCGGTTCATAAAAGTCATTTGTTAATGAATCAAAGTACACTAGTCATGCTGTATGTGTTGAGAAGAGCTGGGAGGACATTATAATAGGAACATTTGTTTGAATAACCTATAAAATACATTATGAGCTCTCCTAATTTTAAAGAACTATACAGCAACTTCGTACAGGGTTATTTTCTGAAATTAGAGCACAAGGATATCACAACAATTGACCTATATTGATTGGTTACACTCAAATGGTGTCCAGTCTCTGAATCCCATTTCAGGGGGCCTGAAACTTAAACTTTCAGGGAGTTTAAAAGAAACTTAACATGTTCCAAATGAACCCTGTTTGAACGTTACTTCTAGACACGCTGCTCCTCAGGTTCAGACATAGGTCACATGGTGAGCATCAGGGCCATGTCGTACTCTCACTCCGTTAACATGGCTAAGTTACAGAGATATTGCTTACAGCAATTAAGCTTATACAAACGTGGGTGAGCTTAGAATAGCAGGTTGTTGGGTTACACGGGATATACCTGAGCACTCTGCATTTGAGACTACAACCCTTCTAATGTTATGCAAATGAAAACAAGATGCCTTCTTTTGCGGAGGGTCAGATATAATTGGTTCTCGTTTCTCCTCAGTGTACGAGGCGGTGACTGTCACAGGTGATGTTAAAGGCGCTGGGACTGATGCTAATGTGTTCATCACCTTGTATGGAGAGTTTGGAGTGACTCCCAAAGTTCACCTGGCCAGCAAGTAAGTTATGCTTCAATCCTGCATCTCTACATGACAATGTTAATCTTGAGCGTTTCCAGATGCATATTGACTGCAAATTATTATTTGTCATTATTAGTATTAGTATTTTCTAGTGCTGTCAAATGATTAATCATGATTAACCCAAAATAAAATCCGCATCCAAAATAAAAGTTTTTGTTTACGTAATATATGTCTGTGTACTGTGTATATATATTATATCTTAAATATATTTATATATAATATAAATTATATGAATATAAATATATACATGTAAATAATTATTTTCTAAGTATATACTGTATGTGTGTGTATTTATATATGCATAATAAATATACACAGTACACACATATATTCTGTAAACAAAAACTTTTATATTGGATGCGATTAATTGTTTGACAGCACTAGTATTTTCATAATTTATAATTGCAGCTTAATCAAATTGGTTTAATGCATATCAAGTTATGTTTACTAACTACTTCAAATTGTTTTTTGTAGGGATGCACGATATTGGATTTTTGCCGATATCCGATATGCCGATATTTTTCAACTCATTTTGGCCAATGGCCGTTGCCAATACCGATACCGATATATTTCCTTTTGTTTGGAAACATAACCAAGTCTCTCCTGTGTGAAAATTCTAAGCAAATTATTTTTTAATTTTGAATGATTTTGAATCAATGTCGATATTTACATTTAATGTCGTTATCGGCCGATTCCGATATGGGTCCGATAATATCGTGCAAAAATAGTTTTTTGTTCTCAACTTTTTCCAAGTGTGAGCTGAATTTTCTAGTATTTTTGAGGTAAAACTTTAAAGGAACAGTTCACTCAACAATGAAAATGTGTTGCCATCCAAAATATAGAGGTGTTTGATATTCATCAGAAAAGATTTGGAGAAATTTAGCTTTACATCACTTGCTCACCAGTGAATCCTTTATGATTATTATTAGTGTGTTTGACAGGATTATGTCTACTTCAAAACGTTATGTTTACTTCTGTTTCAAAGGAAATCCTACACTGATTTCAGTATAGTGCAGAATAACTAGGAATTTCTGTGGATTTTGACAGGACAGTGCATATATGTCATGTTAATTCTATAATTCTGTATTCTTCTCTAATCTACAGCACAGAAAAGAGGTATAACTTTAACATGGCCAGTTCATCTGCTCGTGTGTGGCCGTGCATTGCTTTTTGCACACAATGCTGTACAAGAGAACGTCCTGTGTGCTTTGACCATGACATTCACACCATCACATCTTTGGGAAATAGATATTGTTTGCTTAGTTGGGCTGTACGATTATTCATGACATGAATTTTAATCACGCTTGGCTCATCCATTGCACACAATGCCATGGTGAAGCACAGGTTATATGCTCTCCTCTGTACAGCATCACCACGGACATTCATCTGAAGGTGAAGAGATTCATGTGACGTTCTCATTGAACCAATGAGAGGCTACAGTCATATGACATCACTTCCTTTTGTGAGAAAACATGAGAAGTTTACACATCTGATCACCGCAAACAGGTAGGCTACTCATAGAAATCTCCACACATACATAATGTCCCATGTATGCGTGTTGATTTTTTATGAGTACAAAGAGAGACCCTTAAAACTCTCCCTACAGTAATCAATCGTCCTGATCAGCGCTGGAGCAAATGATTCAGAAATTAATTACTAATGAGAGAGTTTTTACTTGCTAAGATGAACGTCCAAATTGTTAATGTTGCATAATGACTCATAAAACATTACAAATGCAGTAAAAAGTTCAGAAATGGAAATCAGATTTAGATTAGAAGAAAATTGCATGAACAATTCATAAGCAAGACTCCAGTAGACTAACTTTATTCATAAATCATTCGGAAGCTTAGTTTGTATGTCTCAAAATGAATGATTTTACAACCTATTTGATAAATATTGTATATTTGGGTAGTTGGGTGCATCTCACAAAACTGGTCAAGGACATGTCTGGGTTCAATTTCGCCTCATTTGACCCTTTTCACACCCCAGGTTTCTCAGAAGTGGAAGTTTATATTTTTAAGCTTTTTAAAGATTTTTTTGCATTGTGACATAATTTTCATGACATGTTTTCGTGGGATTCATCCAGTTAGGGAAAGACTCTTCTATTAGGTAGATCTATTCAGTAACTCCTCCTCAGAGAGTTTCAGCAGAATAGAACAGAAATGTTTTTGGACTTGAATTCTGTCCGACATTTAGAATGCAACATTTTGGAATCGAGATGATATTTAACGGAATCTCTGAATTTGTCTAAATGTCATCATTTCCAAAGTTTGCTGGTGCGGTTTTAGTGTGCTGATCTCAGATGAGATGTGTGTTGGTTTCTCCGCATCGATAAGTCTGTGTGTATGTGTGTGAGAAATTTGGCAGTGTGAGTGGGATGTGTAATTCATACTGGGTGATTTTTAATTCATGCATTTCGCATTTTGATTAGAGAGATGCTTTTGCCGAAGCCAACGCAAGAGACCGTAGAGCGATATGTGGGTCATTGATAATGACAGATGGTTCTTTCTCATAAACACACACTCCTGCATTGTCATTTTTAGATGTCGGTGCATTAGAAAGTTTGAGTGTCACAGTAAATCGTTTAGTTTGAGCCTATTCACAGATTGATTTCTGTTCATTTCAGGAGCAGAACAGCCTTTGAAAAGAACAAGACTGACGTCTTTCGGATCAAAACACACAATGTTGGGCCAATAAAGAAAATTAGGTACATATACGTCTGTATACATCCAAGAGTAACTACCTTAAAGGCAAGTCTTGAAGGTTTCAGCAATATATGTCTTGTGATGTACTTCCTGTAATGCAGAATCGAGCATGATAACACGGGCATGAGTGCCAGTTGGTTCCTGGACCGGGTTATTGTGACTGACATGAACAGGCCACACCTCCGATTCTTTTATGCCTGCAACAATAGGCTGAGCAGAGATGAGGGGGACGGACTTACTGTCCGATATCTGTTGGGTAGCCTGAACCCCATGGACATTCCAAAACGTATGTTGTATGCTTGCAAAACAGAGAGCAAATAAACAAATCACATTACTTTTTTATTTTATTTCATTTTATTTTGTTTTATCACTTGAAAAAGGTGACACAAATCTAGTCAAAAATGTTCATTTTCTAGAACAATTTTAGATTTTTTTTTTTGTTATAAATTATAAATGTCTTGCAAGTATAAAACATGATATTAGGTTAAACCGTTATTTTATTTTATTATTTTTTATTTTATTTTATCACTTGCAAAATGTGACACATCTAGTCAAACTTTTCATTGGCTAGAACAATTTTAGATTTTTTTGTTGTTGTTATAAATGATATATGTCTTGCAAGTATAAAACATGATATTAGGTTAAACCGTTATTTTATTTTTTTTGCCATGAATATGTTTAAACTTTGATTGCCTAGAACATATTTTTTAATTAGACACATTTTTTACAATTATTAAACATTTAGCATTTAGTCATACACACATTAACACTACATAAATAACACATGTGTATTGCATGACACACTGTAATTTTCCCATAGAGATCTGTAGCATAAGTAAAGAACCTCAAACAAGATACTACAACTCTCAAATAAAAACACTACTAATAAAAAACTACATGCAACCTACAGATATACTTCACGTCTTATTCCATATAACCCATAGATAACATCACATAGGTCATATGATCATGATCATAGATGATGCATGCATACAAGCATCACCAGACTCAGGTTGCATACAAAGGATTAGGAGAAATTTAGTAGTAGAGTAGAGTTTCAGATGGAGATCACAATATCACCAGTCCAACATTCCCAGATACCGCTGACAATATAACATTACATCCCACAGATAGGAGAAAGACTAGATGTAGAAGCTGTTTCTGAGAAAGAGCTCACTGGTGGTTTTAATGATAGATAATGGTCAAAAATACATGGTGCATGCAAAAAATAAAATTTTAGGATTTTGTCCAGAAAATGTGTTAATGTGTGTCTGTTCATATATTGCAGAGAACAAGTACATAGCCAGTGTCTTCACAATGGATGCTAAAGGCAGTGGGACCGACGCTGATGTCTACCTCAATATTTTTGGAGAGTTTGGGGATACAGGTCAGTAAAACCAGTCAATGTTTCTGTGTGTGCTATTTTATGTTGTAAAAAAAAACACACATAGGTCAAACTTGAATTGCCTAGAACATTTAAAATTATTATTAGATATATTTTTTACAATTATAAAACATGCTTTTATGTTAAACCGTTATTTTATTTTATTTTACCACCTGAAAAATGTGCCATGAATCTAGCTACACTTTTGATTGCCTAGAACATTAAATTTTTTAATTCGACATACAGTATTTCTTACAATTACAATACTCATTTATTTATTTTTAATTACACACATTTCTTACAATTTTCAGTACTAAATACAGTCAGTGTATCTATGTGTAGGTGTTAGTTTTTTATGTTGCACTGCCTTGGTGTGATGTTCGCAGGAGAACGGAAGCTGGTCAGCGATGGAAAGGACAATTTTGAGCGCGGTAATGAAGACAAATTCACCATCGAAGCACCAAATCTTGGCAGACTTCGAAAAATCACCATCGGACATAACAACAAGGGGTCGTCTGCTGGCTGGGCGTGTGATAAAGTACACAAACGCACTTTTCATCTAAAACCTTCATAAAGAATATCTTTGTCTCTGTCCTCTGTGATTAATATGATGTCTTTGTGTTATGGGGATGTGTTTTAGGTTGTAGTAGATGACATGGGGAATAAGGAGGTTTATGAGTTTCCTGTCAATGCCTGGTTTGACATCTCAGAAGGGGACGGCAAAATACAAAGAGATGTGCTTGCCGGAGCCACGCAGCCAATGGGTAAGAGCAAGCATGCGTGCTTGTTTATTAGAATAAATGCACTTGATTAAAACATACTTGGATTTGTTTGTTTGTGTATGTGCGTGTAGCGATTGTGTATAACGTACAGGTGATGACGGGTGATATTCGTGGAGCCGGAACTAACTCTAAGATCCACTTCGTCATGCACGGGCGTAAGGGTATTAAGAACAGTGGTAAGTTGTTCCTGGAGGGCGGCACGTTTGAGCGTGCTCAGATCGACATCTTTAACGTCGAGCTGCTGGAGCTGCTCAGCCCGCTCAGCAGAGTCACGATCGGACACGACAACGCTGGAATCAGCTGCGGCTGGTATTGCGAAAAGGTGTGTGTCGGGGCTATAAGGTGTTTTGAAGCTTTCATTACTTATTCATACATACAGCGTGTGATCTGTCGCTTTCTTTCTCTCTCACACAGGTGACGGTATACTGCCCGTTCACAGGTTTAGAGCAGGTATTTCCCTGCGGCAGGTGGTTGGATGAAGATGATGGTGATGGACTGGTGGAGCGAGAACTGTATGAGATGGTCTCACTCAGACAGAAAAAGCAAAAGAGTGAGCAAATTATCAAACTATCAGGGGTAATGTTCACTAAACATGCTGTATTGCAGTGTAATGACCTGCATCTTGTTCGCTAACCACCTACAGTCCAGTGTAACCTGACACTAAATGTGCAGAAATAGTGCTGCATTGTATTTAAAGGAATGGTTCACCCAAAAATGAAAATCTGTCATTAATTACTCGCCCTCATGTCGTTCCAAACCCGTAAGACCTCGGTAGCTTCACAAAATGTAGCCACTGATGTCACATGGACGGTTTTACCGATGTTCTTGCTATGTTTCTGGACCTGGGAACATTTCAGTTGTGCTGCTGTCTGTGGAGGGTCAGAAAGCTCTCGGATTTCATCAAAAATATCTTAATTTGCATTTCGAGGATGAACGGAGGTCTTACGGGTTTGGGCGAACTAACCCTTTTAGCCAAATTGAAAAGTTATTGTCATGCTTTTAGTTGACACAAAAATAGTAAAATCGATAGTAAAATAAAATGATTTTCTTAAAAAAAAAAATCAATGATAAATAATGTCCATAAAACATTAAATCAATAATAAAAATAAAATAAAAAATTATAAAAGGGGTTAACATCAATATTAAAGAAATATATATTCATAACAGCAATAAAATCAACAAGAAAATAAAGGTATGTTCATAAAAAGTAATAAAATCAACAATAAAATATATTGAAATGAAAATAACATCAATGATAGAATATGTCTATAATATTAGTCATAAAAATAATAAATACTATTAAAATACCATTCATAAAAAATAACAACAATAATATAATTATAAGAAATATTAAAATCAATGATAAAAAATCAATCATTGAAATAATAAAATACAATTCTATGAATAATTAATGATGAAATCAGTAATAAAATACAATTATATTTATAAAACAATAACATAAATGATACAGTTCTATTAATAAAAATAATAACAATCAATAATCAAATAGTTATATTCATAAAAATGATCAAATCTGTATTAAATTAAAATTATATTCATAGAAATAATGACATCAATGATACATCTTAATGCAAATAATAACATCAATAATAAAATTAAATTCTATTCGCAAAAAAATGATAACATTTCAAAGTAATGTTGAATTGACTCTTACACCATCGTGACACACAAGTTGTGTTTGTGTGTGTGTTTCTCAGAATTCCCCTGGTCTCTCAAGTGTTTCTTTTATAGCACTTTATCTATTTGTGTCAATAGACTTCAATTACAATACATATTTTTAAAGGGGTCATATGATCATTATTTGGTGTATTTGGTGTAACAGAATATGTTGACATGCTTTAATGTTCAAAAAACACATTATTTTTCAAATACTGTACATTATTGTAGGTCCTCTATGCCCCGCCTCTCTCAAACGCTTCGTATTCTACAAAGTCCCTTCTTCCGACAAGCGCAGTCTGCTCTGATTGGCCAGCTGACCCAGTGCATTGTGATGAGCCATAAATCTCCACTTCAGTAGCACTTACACACACCAAACTTTTTTTATTCCTGTATATATTCTGAAGGTTTTTACAGAGCGATTTGTTCATATATCATTTTCTTGATTACATACAACATTTTATTTCCCCCAAAATTGTGAAAATATATTGTTTTCTGGCTGTTCAAAGTATTTTTTGAATTATGGAGTGACAAAAAGAGATACCCCAAATTCCCTCTGTAAAAACATTCGCCTCTAATATGTAAAAAAAAAAAAGAATTTTGAAACGGACTTCATCCAGTGTTCAGATTTTGTACTAGAAATGTATGCAAATTAGCGCATATTTCATTAAATAATACCTAATTTGCACATTTAAACATAACATTTTACAAAACTTGTAAAACAAAAAATGTTTGCAATTATCAATGTAATCAATCAACTGATAATTAGTAGTTAATTTTTTTACCCTATTCACCTGCAGTGTCTCGCCTTGTGTCACAAAATGTTTTCTTCATTTATGTGCTTTGGACTAAGATATAATCCCAAACTCAGTCATGCATTATATTAGTAGCTGACCGTAAGAAAAAACAATTTTACAAAGAAAAAGATTTGTTTGATTTTTTTTATATTACTATTTATATGTGACCCTGGACCACAAAACTAGTCATAAGGGTCGATTTTTGGATAGGACGATATTTGAAAATCTGGAATCTAAATATTGAGAAAATCGCCTTTAAAGTTGTCCAAATGAAGTTCTTAGCAATGCATATTAATAATCAAAAATTAAGTTTTGATATATTTACGGTAGGAAATTTACAAAATATCTTCATCGAACATGATCTTTTTACATTTTTGGCATAAAAGAAAAATCGATAATTTTGACCCATACAATGTATTGTTGGCTATTGCTACAAACATACCTGTGCAACTTATGAGTGATTTTCTGCTCCAGGGTCACATATATGTTTTTTTATTGCTGTTTAATAGTTATTAAATATCGTGTGACGATTTGCACGGGAAACATCAGTGGAAGTGGGACAGATGCCAGTGTTTATTCAAACATCATTGGTGACTTGGGAGACACTGGAGAGCGTCTGATGTTCATGAGCCAAAACAACGCTAACAAGTTTGAGAAAGGAAACGTGAGTAATGACATTTGACATGCTGGCATGAAACATGTGCATGGATTCCACAAAAATATTAAGAAGCATAGCTGTTTTCAACATTGATAATAATTACAAATGCTTCTTAAGCAGCAAATCGGCATGTTAGAATGATTTCTGAAGGGTCATGTGATTCATCTCAGGAATAAATTATATTTCAAAATATAGTAAAATAGAAAAAAATGGTTTTTATTGTATTTTTTAACATTTAAAGGCAGCCTTAATTTAATTTATATGTAAATAAATAGCCTCATTATATCAGAGATGACAACCGAATGGCACTTGATGAATGAAACATGCAAAATAATTGTCATATGACAACAATCTACTACTGTTTAAAATATTTATTGCTGAATAATTTGTACTGTTTACATAAAGTTGTATGCAACATTGCTGTCACGTGACCTCATTAAAGTCAGTGTGAGATGTCCAGCTTTCAACCTAAAATGCAATGTTTTTTTCACATTTCTAAAATGTCTATACCCTATAATGTATAACTATACTACCCTATAATGTCTTAACTTTTGGTAATCTGATTAAATAATGAGTGGCTGGAGATGTTATATCCGGTTCATTCTGAAAAGGAAATCTAAAAATAAACACATTGCATTGTGGGATACAGAACCCTGTATATATGTGCATAATATACGTACTTCATACTGCAGAAGTAGTATGTGTTAACTCTTTTCTCAGCATGATGAGTTCCTGGTAGAGGCGGTCACACTGGGACAGATCAAGAGGGTTCGGATTGGTCATGACGGACGAGGCGGAGGATGTGGTTGGTTCCTGGATAAGGTGATGATCAGAGAGGAGGGGCAACCTGAGGCGTCATCCATCGAGTTCCCATGTTACAGGCAAGGCAATCTAACAAACATTAGCTTGTGTGCTAAAGCATATTTCAAACTCACTTGTTGTCAGTATAAGTACGTACATACAGTGGTGTGAAAAAGTGTTGGCCCCCGTCCTGTTTTTTTATTTTTTGCATATTTGTCACACTTAAAAGATTCAGATCATCAAACAAATTTTAATATTACACAAAGATAATGCAAGTAAATACAAAATGCAGTTTTTAAATGATTATTTATTTTATTAAGGGAAAAAAAGCTAATTGCAGTTCTTTCAATTAATTTTTCATGTAGGGCCATGCAGGTTTGGACAGCTTTTTTCCCTTAATAAATGAAATCATTATTTAAAAAATGCATTTTGTATTTACTTGCATTATCTTTGTGTAATATTTAAATTTGTTTGATGATCTGAAACATTAAAGTGTGAAAAACATGCAAAAAAATAAGAAATCAGGAAGGGGGCAAACAGTTTTTCACACCACTGTATATGTGCGCGTGTCTGGCCAGGTAAAGAACATGAGAGAGTGATGTTTAAGTCAATTATGTAGTTGAGAAAACTGACTCTGGTTACTAATGGACACTAATGAGTGCAGAGGAAACCCTACCTACATCAACAAGAGAGCTCAGCTACACACACACCTATAACACACACACTCATCCTGCACATTCCCATACTGTATCTCTCTCTGTCTCATCTCAGGTGGCTGGATCGTAATGAAGACGACGGGCAGATTTTGAGAGAGTTAGTCCCTACTGATGATGGTCAACGTTTGTTCAGTCAGTGAACGCACACATACAAACAAACATTATCACATACAAAAAAGTTAAATGTATGCAACAATGAAACAAAACGTACTTTGTATTTCTGTGTACATAAATATAGGCTAGATACAATAGGTTTTGACGTGTGTGTTTTTGTTCCAGCTGTTGATTATCACATTGCTATAAAGACAGGCAGTATTAATGGTGCCAGCTCAGATTCGAAGGTGTTCGTAAAGCTGTACGGAGAGAAAAACGACACCAACAAGATGCTGCTGGTCGTCTCCGATAACGACCTGGGGAACTATTTTGAGACAGGACAGACGGACATCTTCACCATAGAGACCTTTGACATTGGCAAGGTATGCTACCTGTTCATGTTCAGCAAATTTACCCAGTTTAAAGTTAAAATTGTATTCTATTCTATTCTATTCTGTTCTGTTCTGTTCTGTTCTGTTCATCTTCTTCGAATTTGTTCTGTTTACATTTGTTCTATTGTGTTTGTTCTGTTGTTCAAATTCACTCTATTCTGTTGAACTAATTCTATTCTCTTGTATTCTGTTCTATTCTTTCTAATGTATATATTTGTTATATTGTTTTCTGTAGTTTACATATGTTATATTGCATTCTATTCTGTTCAAATGAACTATTCTGTTCAAATTAACTCTATTCTGTTAAACCCATTCTATTCTGTTCTGTTCTGTTCTTTATAATGTTAGAATTTGTTATATTTTGTACTGTTGTGTTGGTAGATTTGTTCTATTGTGTTATGTTGTTCAAACTCACTATATTCTGTTAAACTCATTCTATTCCATTCTACTGTATTCTATACTTGTTAAATTTTTTTCTACTTTGTTCTTTTGTTTACATTTGTACTATGTTCTGTTCTGTTGTTCATATTATTTTGTTAAACCCATTCTGTTTTGTTGTGTTCTGTTCTATTCTATTCTATTCTTTCTAATGTTTAAATTTGTTCTATTTAGTTATTTTTTACATTTGTTCTATTATGTTTAGTGCAACTCATTCTATTCTATTCTATTCTATTCTAATGTTCAATTTTATTCTATTTGGTTCTGTTGTCCACATTTGTTCTCTTTTATTGTGTTGTTCAAATTAACTCTATTCTGATAAATTCTGTTCTATTCTATTTTCTCAGGATAGGTACATACTAGGAATGGCAAATGTAAAAAATTCAACTACTATCAAATGTCACTAGAAATCCTGTCAAATGATGTGGATGCTCACATTATAAAATATGATGTATATAATACATACTGTAAACATTCTTCATGCATTTGTACATAACATTTATACTCGCATTCATCTCAAATGGAACAAATGTGCCAAATGTGCGTACTTACTGTGACTCCCCTCCGCTCTCTGGGAGGGTCCTGTAGATAAACAGGTTGCTGATTGGCCACACTAACGAGGGTCTGCAAGCCGGTTGGTACCTGGACAGCGTTCAGATCTGGGTGCCGGTGCACGGGGTGCAGTACATGTTCCCCATTCACCGCTGGCTCTGTAAGGACGAGGCTGATGGGAAGGTGGAGGTGGAAATCTATCCAAGTGAGATGCTGGAGATTGAGAAATGTATGTATTTCACAATTTTACATTTGATAAAGGCAGTTCTTGCATTCCCTGGGAATCATACCCATGACGTTGGTGTTGTAGTCACCATGCTTTTTCAATATATGCACAGAAAAAATTTGACTTCATGTTGAAATCCAGCTACTGTGAACTAAAAATGATCAATCATTGTTTTTCTAATCGACAGTGATCAATTATGAAGTTACCGTGGTGACAGGAGACGTGTGGACCGGAGGGACAGATGCGAACGTCTTCCTGCAGATTTACGGTGAGGAGGGAAAAACCGAACTAATACAGCTGAAGAGCCGATCCAACAACTTTGAGAGAGGAACCACTGAGATCTTTAGGGTGAGTTAATGGAGTTGTAGATGAAAATCCTACTCTATATTTTAAAAGCTGTGACGTTTCTGGAATCCGGTTGTTTGTTTCTGAAGAGATGCATTTTCATTGGTTGATTTAAGATCGAGGGCCTAGATGTGGGACGGGTCTATAAGATCCGAATCGGCCATGACAGCTCGGGAATAGGGGCTGGATGGTTCTTGGAGAAAGTGGACGTTAAACGGCTGGTCATGGCAATGGTGAAACCAGAGAAGAAAGAGGAGGACAAGAAAGACAAAAAGAAGAAAAAGAAGAAAAAGGTTTGGCAGTTAGGTCTTTGCTTTTGAAACAAAAAGCGTATTTTCTTGATTTAAACCTTAATTTAGAATTGATTTAGTCTAGTCCAGCAACTAAATGTTCAATACTGAGAGTGACCAAATTGAACATTTTCAGAATGAGCAATTGAAAAACTAATACTGATTGACCACTATTTAAATATTTATTTTTACACCCATCTAATCATCTCTAGGAGGAAGAAGAATCCCCAGGTGAACTGAAGGAGATTGTTCGAACTTTCAGTTTCCCATGTGGCCGATGGCTCGCTCGTGATGAAGAGGATGGAGAGATACTCGTGGAGCTGCGTGCTGAGGATTATGAAGATCTGGAGGGTATAGAGAGAGATTCAATCCTTCACAACCAAAAAGTATATATAAAAAACAATGAATTTTAAATAAATGCTTTTTTAGGAAAATGAATCGTTTATTTAAAATGTACAACGTAATAAATTTACATTTATTTATTAATAATTAATTAATTGATATATATATATATATATATATATATATATATATATATATATATATATATATATAAAATA